GTTTCCTATGAGTAGTTTGGAGTGACTTTAATATTGTCCTCTTTACCCATGATAGACCAGGGAGTTCTTATTCTCGAGCGTGTATTGCAGACTTTAGGGGGATTTGGGATAGATTCAACCATATTGATCCTCCCTTGTCAAGTGAGGAGTATGGAGACTTGGTCCAATTTGAAACAGAAGCCAAAATTTTTCTAGAATTGATCACTTTATTGTCTATGCTTCTTTTGATTCTGAGGTCCCTAGTCTTGCATCTTAGAAGTTTTCCCTTAACCGTCATGGTGAAGTTTTTAGTTTTCTACTGAACCAAAACATTTAGAATCTCATTTATAGACAAATTAGTTCTTTAGGTTTAATTATTTATTTCAAACTTCTCTTAATCTAGAAAATTCAGAGTCTGTCTGGGTACATGGTGCAAAGGGTTCAGAGCCTTATCAATAGGCTTGGGAATCAACATGGAATAGTATATAATCCTACATTTAGGAACCAAATAAGCTCTAACTACCTGTGGTGAACCAAAATGCACGAAGACAGTTTTTCTCATTATCTAAATACATTGTGAGAGGCAAGTAATGCTTAGTAATGCCCATAAGATAAACATGGTTTAGGGTGAAAGTGTTTTGGCCAGAACATTTAAAGGTTGTTGGCATTAGGTGGTTCTCAAAACTTACTAAGGATCAGTCCTTAGGTGAGGCTGAACCTAATGAGGTGTCAAGAAGAGAGAATCTCTTTTCTGATGTAATAGGACATGAAGGAAATACACAGGAAGCAAAAGGTGATGCATGATGGAAGAAAATATGTTGTTGGTGATGCATGAGGGTGGAAAGAAGGCTGAAGCAGAGGCGCAGGGAGGAAAACAAATGGGTTCAGCAGTTTTTTGGTCTGATCGCAAATCTCTCAGTTTTGGAAAGTTAAAATTTCTTTGAAAAAGTGGGTAATGGTGAATAATAAGAAGGTATGACTTGATAAGGCAATACAGAAGAAATGTATTTTCTGGAGTATAATTCATTGTTATTATAATTGATCAAGGTGGGCCTTGGGAGATCTTTTGGTAGAAAAGTTAAAGTTCCCAAAATGCTAGGTCAGCTTGGAAAATAGTCTCTGACAGATCTGGGCTTTCGAATTCTAAAGCAGAAAATTTTGTTTTTAGGACTCGACCCACTTAGGAGTATGGAACCCAGTAAGAAATCAAAATGAGCTGAAAAAATATAAAATAACTGAACAGGTCTCAGCTCCTCGAAAAGCCCAACAATTACAGATTCTTATCCAAGGTTGAAATCAACTGTAATTGCATATTCAAGGATTGCTGCTGTTATTCCATAAACTACTGAAGGAAGTGACATAGCAGCTGCTTCTCTGAATGTTGAGCAGAATTGTGAATCTACATGCATGGCAAGGAATAAGCTATCTGCAGTCAGCTTGACAAAAAGTAAATAGGAGGGAGAAGATAATATTTAGAGTAGTGCTTAGGAAGAATCTGAGGACTCTCTCCCCATGGTTCATCCTTTGATTTTGAGAATGATCTTGACGAAGATGAAATTCTAAATTTCTTTATTCTGGAAGACACTATCTCTGGTATCCCATGGGAAGTCATGAGAATTGTTGCTGTCCAAAGGGCAGGAAATATAACATGTTTTAGACGAAATTGCTTCTTTGTTTAGTTAACATGCCCCCATGGGCTCACTAACAACTGGTTTCATTATTTTGGGTCCACTATTTTAGAACATAACATCGAATACTTTGATGATCTTGACTCTATAGTCGATTGTTTAATCGATTTATAAATTTTTTGTAATGGGGTGATGCCCCCTTGGCACATTTACTTCGATACAACTGCATACTTTTATTTCAAAAAAAAAAAAAAAACATGTCCCCATGGGCGACGAGGATAGATGTTTGAGTATGAACCAAACTATTGGAGAACACTTGTCCAGATCTCTAAGCTAATCATAACCATAATCTTATGCAAGGAATGTAACTTCCTTCTTCAATCCTTAATATTCCTTCCATTCTTCCTTGGCTTGTTAGTGATCCAATGGATTCTCAAGACCCCAAAACCATGACTGCCAAGTAAAAAAGGACGCTTCCATTTCTAAGGTAACAAGGTTTTGAGATTATAATGGAGCCCTAATGAGATGATTAGTAAGTCAGACTTTAGATGAGTGAAACAGTTAGATTGGGAAGTAAGAGTTAAATCTTGTCCTAAGACATCATAGGAGAAAAGAGCACCAATCTTTAGCTCGAGAGATTAGCTTCTAATATGTTTTATGGAGAGTTAAAGGACTGTAGGGGTAAATCACTTCCCATTAACGTTATCAATTGGAATGTCAATGGCTTGGGTAATGTCCTTCAGAGGAAGAAGATTAGGGAGGTCTTCTCTAGGATTGGTTGGACTTTCTCTTCTTTTAGGAGATCAAGATGGCTAGTATTTTATACATTGCATGTCCATAGTGTTTAGGACTCTATATTTAAGGGTTGGGTTTGAAGTCCTTCTTTTGTGGTTTCTAGATGTGGGATACTAAGGTAGCTTCTTCTCTTGATTCTATTGAGAGTTCTTTTTCTATCTCAATTCTTCTGGATATAATTGGGAAGGGTTATGAGGGGTGGTCCTAGAGTGCCTATAGGAGGAGTTATCTTATGTGTCAAGACTATGCAGTCCTTTTGTGCTTTAATGGTGACTCCAATGTCTGCAAAGACTCGTCTAAGTAGCTGAATAAACAGACCATTTCCAGCATGAGGGGTTTCAATTCCTTTACTCATGACTTTAAGAGAACTCTCTCTCTCTAATGCTCAATTTACCTGAAAGTGAATATGAGTAGAAATGTCTTCTCTCAAATTGATCGGTTTCTCGTTTCTATAATTAGGACGACAATTTTCCCGACTTAGTAAAAGAAGTTCTTCCCCTTACAGTCTCGGATCATTTCCCTACCCTCTTGGAATTTAGTCACATGAAGTGGGCCCTACTCCCTTCCCTTTTAAAACAATGTGGTTGCCTGATGAAAATTTTAGCAAGAAATAATTACAAGAGCTTTTTTGAGAGAAAAATTATGTAGCCAGCCAATACTCAAACCCGAGGTCTCTAACCAATAATTGAGCATTTCAACCACTACAACCACATAGCATCTTCTGTGAAATAATTATAAGAACTTACCTGGGTTTTGCAATCACAACATCCTTTGGGGACACAATATAATACAACGGCTCATCACCAGCTGCCCATTGACCACCAGCATAGCTGCTACCTACATTCATGGGAAACAAGTAGAAATGTGAGTATAATTTATCTCCCGATCCCATAAAATACCCATATCTTTTTTATATACTAAAATACATTTAAGAAAAGAAAAAAAATTAAAAACCTGAGAAAGGAGCATGAGCAAGGGAATAGTCCTTCGCCTTGTAGTGCTCAAAACCATGAACAGGTAAGGCGTCTGTTGCAAGTTCATCATTGTTCCAAGTTACAATCCGAACTTCTGGTCTCTGGGCATTCCCCTGTTTCAAATAGAGTTACACATATCAGCATATCCAATGAGATTAAGAGAGTTGAATGCAAGTTTACCTTTTAAAAAGAGCATTATAATTACTTTCTTTTTCTCAAAAGGAAAAAGAAAATAATGATAAGACAACTAGCTCTAAGTTTCATCTGTGAGCAAAACTAAACTAAGAACCACATACTTTTATCCAGAAACAGAAAGAGAATAAAACCAAAAGAAAGAGAGGCTACCAGCTGCTAATCAAATATCAACAAAATTGATGAGCATGGAATTTTGAAGGGTCAGTGACCCGAAACAACAGTGAAGTTTTTTTTTATAGGAAAGAAAGAAAATTGTTCGGCAATAAAATACAGAATCTGAAGTCAAAAGCTAAAGAACTTCTAGCAGTAATTTCCTCTAAAAAATTCCTAAGTTTTTAATCAACTGGAAATAAAGAATGCTTTACCAAAGAAATAGAACTCCTAATGCTAACTAGACTACGGAATGCATTTCACATGAGAAAACTTACATAATTTACCAGTTCAACATGTAAAGATCTATGCTTTTGCAGGATAGCATGGAGATAATAATCAAAATATAATATCGAAAATACTTTCATTTGCAACCCAAACAAATGCCAATGTCCAAATCTAGTCCATCCAAGTAATATTAGGGAACCCCGGCAACATGTCTTAAAGCATACGGACAAAGTACCTGTCTTGACGGCACTGTGCTACTAAATTCCTTCTCTCCATCTCCATCCCCAGGAATATAAGCTAGAACAACCAAAGAATCACCAAAAGGAGCAATTCCTGATATATAATAGCTGGTCTGAAAAGATGCCACAATATCGACCTGGTTAATGCTAGACATCTGAATCTGCCTGTATGTCCCGTTGACTCCCTTATACTGATTTGTTCTTATCGATGCAATCTTAACTGATGTTCCCCATCCAATCACCAAAAGAGTATCATCCTGAATGCAACTAAATGAGAGTAAGAAACTATATGAATTCTACGAATCAACATACTCATGCTGATCACAGAAAGTGCAAAGTAGAACACAAATGAAATATTAGACACAAGCTCAATCCTTCAGACTGCTACTTGAGAAGTGTACTACAATTGCAGGAAGCCTGCCAAGTGCATGTAAATCCCTCAACACTGTCCCCATGTTACCATTTAAAACTAAGCTTAAATGTACTTCGATAATTAACATTCAACTGACCTGCCAAACCAAGTGTGGGAGCAAAAGCTCAGGACGTGGGCTTCCTCGTGGTCTCTCAATAAATGTAATTCGCTGATCATTTGAAGCATCATAAACTTTTACACCAGCATCATTAGCCCAAGCAATGAGACTTGTTCTCCATTTCACTGCATGAATAGGACCTTCACCGGAGTGCAAAACCTAAAAACATTAACTTTGTAGCATTCAGCAATCAAAGCATTCAATACACATTTCTTACAAAGCTATCAAATA